TTGAGATAGGTTAATCTCGGTTTCACTCGCTGCCCCGCAGTTAATCGATTTCAGGCAAGCATCAACGATCATCGGACTTCCGAGAGCTCCACAGTGGTCTCTAGAATCCTCGAAAGTCGAAGCGCGTTCGTTGGTCATGATGTTTTCCATGCCTTATATCGCTTCCGTCTTGCTGTGCCTTTTGTGTTGTTATATAACACTCTATTTGGACATGCTCATCATCTCGATGCAATACTGCTCTTTCCTCTACTCTATACTCCAATCCCTTCGGATGCCGAGGCGCACAGTCACGGTTGAGCTATCAAGGATAACTAAGGTTAATGCCTTCGCTTCTTTAACGAGAGAAAAATTCTCTAGTACAATATACTAGTACAGTGGGGCAGCTATGCCACCCCAAGATCAATAATTTTTCCGACGGGGCAACTATGCCATACAAGGATCAAAGAATTTCTCCCAGCGGGGCAACTATGCCATCCGGAATCAAACATTCCTTCCGGCAGGGCAACTACGCCACTCCGAGATCAATCATCTTTTCCGCTGGGGCAACTATGCCACTTCAAGACCAATCATCTTTGCCGCTGGGGCAACTATGCCACTTCAAGATCAATCACTTGTTGTCGGCAGAGCGAACTGTGCCATCCCAAAATCATACAATTTCTCAGTCTGTTGAATTGTACATTCGGTGTCCTGCATCGCGTGAGAATGTCATAGGGAGCATTAATTTGCTTCACTGTCCGAACCCTGTATTTCCCCCGTTAACGTTTCTCGGAGCCTCAACCTGGAAAATTTCTGCATTGATAGAGTGATAGCTTTATCAGACATGCCAATATAAACAAGGCCGCTAAAGTGATAAGGCAAGGATGGGAGCGGATCGCTGGAGGATTATCCAACTTCCCGGAAAAAGAGTACCCGAGGTGTCATTTCTATCGTTAGGATCATACTGTAAGGCATGGCTAACTAGTCCAGTGTGCTTCGGTTTGGCAAAGAAGTCTGATGGATCAATTTGCTTCGAGCCAACTGACGCTGACTGCCACGGTGAGCCTATTGCTTGTGGTGCAATGATTACCACTGAGGTTCCTACCACTGAGGTTCCTACCACTGAGGTTCCTCCCACTGAGGTTCCTACCACTGAGGTTCCTACTACTGAGGTTCCTACCACTGAGGTTCCTCCCACTGAGGTTCCTACCACTGAGGTTCCTATCACTGAGGTCACTACTACTGAGGTCCCTACTACTGAGGTCACTACTACTGAGGTCCCTACTGCTGAGGTCCCTACTAGTGAGGTCCCTACTAGTGAGGTTCCTACTACTGAGGTTCCTACTACTGAGGTCTCTACTACTGAGGTCCCTACTACTGAGGTCCCTACTACTGAGGTCCCTACTACTGAGGTTCCTACTACTGATGTCCCTACTACTGAGGTCCCTACTACTGATGTCCCTACTACTGATGTCCCTACTACTGATGTCCCTACTACTGATGTCCCTACTACCGAGGTTCCTACTACCGAGGTTCCTATTACCGAGTTTCCTATTACTGAGGTTCCTACTACTGAGGTCCCTACTACTGAGGTTCCTACTACTGAGGTTCCTACTACTGAGGGTCCTACTACTGAGGTTCCTACTACTGAGGTTCCTACTACCGAGGTTCGTACTACAGAGGTTCCTACTACAGAGGCCGCAAGTACAGAGATTATCGTAACCACGAGTACAACTAGCAGCGTATCCGAGGGTTCCCAAGGCAATTACTGTGGTGAACTCTATGGAGAGAGTTTCAGCGTCGACTTTGACGAAAATGGACGCGCTACTGTCAGTGTCCTAGGACAAAGCGCGGGCGCTGATTATGAAGTTGCGGGTGATGATATCGTCTTCTCCAACTACGATTCTATGCTGCAACAGTTGATTGATATGTTCCATATCAAAAGTATCAGAGGCACTATCATCAGTTCTACTGAGATCCATATCAAAGCAGGTTTCCTCATCGATACAACTCTTACTAGCTGCTAAGGCTTAATGTAGCCTTTACTCCGCGTCTTTTTTTCGATACTTACCTGAGACTTGTCTTCGAGTTGTCCGTTGTCTTCCTGATCGGGCCGTTTACTGA